ATCCCGGGCCAACCTGGAAACCAAACCCGGATCACTCCAAGATAACTACCAAGACTAAAAACCTTTCATTTTTAAGACTTTTCCTTCCAGCCTACACTCCCTTCCACAATCCACCAAGTCTGAGGCCTGGTACGGTACAGTAGTACAGTAGTAGTACAGTAGTAGTCATGGCTGCTTTAAGATTGACCATGAGCAGACAGGAGGAAACCCATCCCAAAAAAAAACACCCGAAAAAAAACGCATTATTTGAGCCGGTCGTTTTTTTTTGGTCTCGGCCTGAATAAGGAAAAAAACGCATTAAAGAGGCCCAAGTTATTAAAAGGGCCGCCACATTAAGAGAAACAAGCCACTCTACACAGTACTCTCCACTTCGTATGCCTCTCCAACCTCTGCACCCTCAGAAGCAAATTCCAAGCGCAAAGCTGGTAAGAGCAAACCGCGAAACAGACTCTTCCGACTCTTGTAGCCACGGTTTAGGGTTTCGGCACTCACACTCGGACACTCCGAGCGAGGCATATGATTCAAGGTCTGCAATAAAGTGAAAATGCTCAGCGAGTTCTGTACAGCTACCCGTGGGTTTCAGGCCTGCCTGGAAACACTCCTAAGCGTCCCAGACTTTGGAAAATCAAGCTGAAACAAGCCTGATTTCATCTACAGGCTCCGTCCTATAAATCAGTCGCGACAAAATGCGCTGTTACATGGCCACGAAGCGTTGTTGCAACAGCTCCATCACACATGGACAAAACCGCTCGTCTTGTCTGCACTAGCAGTCACTAGCAGGTCTCCAGCTCCTCGAGTTCACCTGACCAGCCCGACTGGCTTGGAAAATTGACCGTGGCGGTGTCTCCACGGATGGCTTGGACTCGCCCGCGGTCGCCACGCTGGACATTGCCCCAGCCATGCACTGGAGCTACCACGTCGTCTCGGACTTTCACCAAGGATCCTAGCTCGAAGTGGCAATTGCCCACCATTCTGCTCACCTGTGGTTGCTCGCTCACCGGCGTTTCTGGCTGATGATCCTTCGGAATCAGTTCCATCTCCTCGAGTTTTCCACTCCATCCTGAATGTGATGGAAAGTGGACAGTGCAATTGTCGCCTGAAATGCTGACAAGTTTCCCCCACTGGCCAGGCTTGACAGCGCCCCAGCCGTAGGCTGGCGTCACTCCGTCTTGGACTTTCACAAAGTCTCCCACCTCGATGGTTGTGCGCACCAGACCTTGTAGTGGCTGATCTAAATCGAGGCCCTCATCTGCCAGGGTCTGCTGTTCATCAACCGACGAGCCATCTGCATGTACCAACTTCGCGACGCAGACACCCAACAAGCGAGCTGCCTCCACTCGAATCGTACCAAGTTTCGTGTCGTCTGTCGCGGGAACTTGGACGGACCGTCCGCTAAGGAGGGACACTGTGACCTCACTTCTTCAACAACCAGGCCCCAAAAAGGTCAAACTTTCTAGGGTTGACCTAATATATATATATATATATACATATAAGGCCAAAACGTTTAAAGTGCTCCCATTAAACCCTAAACCCAGTCCTTCTGAGTAACGCGGCTTTGGCTCTCCAAGCTGAGCCCTGCGGCCGGCTCCGTCTCGGTCTCGGGCACCAAGGCGGTCTCAGACATGTCCAGCTGCTTTCTTACGGGTGATGCTGCTGGGCTTAGGGTTTAGGGTTTAGGGTTTCAGCACTCACTCTAGGGCTGCTGGGCTTACACCATGAGTAGAAGATTTTGCCGAGAATGATACGATGGCCTGTCTAAGTTCCTTGAGGACACAAGCCTGACAACTCAATGAGTATATATGGGTGGTTGTCAAAATCATGGTCCCTTTTTGGGTCCCTAATATAGTACGGCACCTATGTTTTAGGGTACCCACAAAGGGACCATAATTATGACAACTACCCATAT